TGTTGTGGCGATGAATGCTTTTAGTCAACATTGTTTGGAGTTCTGTGCTACTTCTGGATATTGTTTTCCAATTTCTTCTCTAGATTAAGGAAATTTTCCCTTATTTCATTGAATACACCTTTAATCCCAGCTTCTCTTTGTGCAACTTCTGGAAATCCCATAACTTTTTAATTTGGCTTGCAACTCTTGAATACGTTTACTATCTTGACCCAGCTCTGCTTCAAACTTTTGTTTATTTGCCTCTGGTGACAGGAAATATCTTCTGCTTCTGAGATTCTTTCTTCTCCTTCGTTCATCCTATTTTGGAGACTCTCCACAATACTTTTAATTTATTCTGCTGTATTTTTAATTTTTGATATATTGGCTTGCATTTGATTCATTTCCTGTGTGACATGTTTTTTAATTACTTGAACTCCTGTATTATGTGCATCTTGTTGATAAAAAAAAGCTTTATAACAAGTGTTTTGAATCCTATATCCCCCATTTTCTTCCTCATTTAACTCTGAGGTTAGCAGACTTTTTTGCTCTTTTGCAGGCAAGTCTTCAGTATCATTCATTGTATATTTGTCCCTTCTTTTGCTCTTGGTATTTGTACTTCTGGTTGGCAGATTCTTCTCCTTGGGGCAAGTGTCTAAGCTATATCACCCACAGATCCACAGTTTGATTTTACTTATTGCAGTTGGCACACTGCTTTTTGTTTGCAGTGACTTGTGCCACTCCCTCCAGAGAGTTCCAGGGTGGGGTTTATTTAATTATTTTTTATTGCAAAGTCAGATATACAGAAAGGAGGAGAGACAGAGAGGAAGATCTTGCATCCAATGTTTCACTCCCCAAGTGACTGCAATGGCTGGTCCTGTGCTGATCTGAAGCCAGGAGCCAGGAACTTCCTCTGGGTCTCCCACATGGGTGCAGAAACCCACGGTTTTGGGAGAGCTGGATGGGAAGTGGGGCTGCTGGGATTCGAACCAGCACACATATGGGATTCTAGTGCAGTCAAGATAAGGACTTTAGTCGCTAGGCCACCACTTTGGGCCCAGGTCTGGGTTCTTATTTTATACTTCCACCATGGTTTCCATAGCCCCAGTTCCTGGTTCACCACTCCTCCTGTGATCCAATACTGAAGCTACACTGTTTTCTGTATAACCATTCTCCCACTTTCTGTTATAGCAATTCCCAGGATTATGGAGACAGCAGGTGTCCTATATAACTAGATTGTTGGTGGTGTTGATCTTGCCAGAACCTGTTGCTGTTAGGTCTGAGGGCCACATGGACCTATTTTGACCTGTCAGATGCCAAAGTTGGTTTCATTTTCCATGTGCAACCAGTGCAATGCACTGAGCTCAGTGAGTTTGCTCTAAGCTCAGTGCATGTGTAGCTTACTGTTGTCCCTGAAGTCTAAAAGACAAAATGTTGCCTGATGTGTCACGACTGGAGTTTTTGATCTGCTGGCTGTCAGGTCTGAGAGCAACTCTGACTTATCTTGGGTGGAACATGTAGGATGCATCGTTGTTGCAGTTCACTGAGCCAGAATGGAGTTCACTCCTAGCTTAGTGCATATACAGCACTGTCCCATAGCCTTTGCCTGCCTATACAAAATGGTGCTCAATTTGGCTCTATGGGGTGGACTCTGCTGTGAAATCTACCTTGTTCCCTCACTGCCCATCTGGGACCTGATGCTCTGTCTCTGCTCCTGGTCAAGTTCAAATAGATCAGTGCCGGAGACCTGCTCCAACGGACTCGAGAGCTTGCAAAGGAAGAGTGGATCGGTGACACAATAAGAAAAGGCAGATAAGACAGAGGCAGAGGAGGAATGGACCAGCCTCTTAGATGATGGCTGAGATTTTTTTTTTGTTAAGATTTATTCATTTATTCAGACATCTGAGTTCAAAAAGAGGGAGGGAGATAGCAGGTCAGATTTTTTCATTTATTAGTTCACTTCCCAGATGGTTGCCATAGCCAGGGCTTAGCTGGACCAAAGCCAGGAGTTTCATTTGGGTCTCTCCCATGGATAGCAGAGGCCCAAGAACTTGGGTTAGGGTTACCCAAGCACTTGGGTGATCCTCTGCTGCTACTCCTTGGGTTAGGGTTACCCAAGCACTTGGGTGATCCTCTGCTGCTACTCCAAGACCGTTATCAGGGAGCTGGATTTCAACTGGAACAACTGGAACATGAACTGGCATCTATTGGAGGTGCTGGCATTACAGGTGCTGGCTTTACCTGCTCTGCCACAATGTGGCAGCCCTAAGGCATTCTTTTGGATGGAGAATGTGAGAAAATGCAAGAGTAGTTGGAGGCACATTGGCCTTTCAAACTGATGGGATGTGGATGTGTCTTTGTTGAGACCTGTGTCCCAGGGGTACTTTGATTTTGTCTCATTTGTCTCCTCTTACAACAGGAGAGCTCTGTGTATAACGGGTGTTTCGATGCTACGTCAGCGCACTGATGGGGTGTTCTGGTTTCTCCCTATTTCTCAAAACAGATCATTCACCACATGGATCTTGAGGAACAGAAAACACTTTTTTTAAAAAAAAAATTCTTATATTCCATTTGCATGATAAGTTTTTCTCTCCACATTCTCACTCCTGCTTCCCCCTGGTAACCTTTAATTGCTAGCATAAGTACTTCCTTCTACCCTAATCAACTTTTTCTTTTAATCTTACTCCCTGTTCCCTCTTTTGTGATGCTCTCCTTTCTCCTCCCACCTCTTACTTTTCCTTGCCCTTGTCCTCCTACTCATATATCTTGTCTAAGAGCAAGGAAAGGGAGCAAGCCGCAACTGTAAGAACAACATCATCAGCTGATTTCCTCCTCTCTGTGAGAGTCTGCTTTCCGTCGTCTTACCTCCCTGTGAAAGAAAGTGCGGTTCTTTGAGAATTATCAACCGTGATCACGATGACTTTTCTGTATGCGGGTACTGCCTACACATTTAGAAAGTATTCCCCAAATTATGCATGATGATTTCATTGGCATGGCTATCTCTCATCCCACACTGTACATAACGTGTTATCAACTGGTAGTTAGGACTCCTTCCCACTGTGACTAATCCTCCACCCCCATTTATCCTTAAATTTTGCCATCACCCTAGACACCATCACATCACGTCTTCCTCCCCCATTGAGAGTCCTTAGTTCATTTTGGTTACATGAGTGTTTCCTGTCCTTTATCAGTATAACTTGGAACTTGATTTTCTCTGAATATTCCAAGTGCTATGCTTAGTCCTTCAGTTAACATTGTGTAGTACCAAAAATACAGGATCAGAATTGATTTTGTGTAGGGACTCGTGAGTGTCCTGCTGGTTTTTGTGTATGGCAGAACTAGGTTCAAACTCCTGATCCTTTCTTGTCAAACTCTGTGACTGTGGTCTGGGAGCTCAGCCTTTGGAAAGCTTACAGTAGGTGGCAGAAATGTAACACATGAGATAGTCCAGAGCTTATCAGGTAAGTGGCATTCAAGAGGAGGAGTCTTTTGTTATGCCATGCTGCCTACCCTAGACAGGCCACATCCTCATGGAATATTGGCAGATGAAGGTGGGTGCTGATTGGGAAGGCTCCTGTCCTGTTTGCGATGAGACAGCTGGTCTGTCTCCTGGGAGTGTGGAGGCGCAGTGCCCATTTCTGCCCAGCTTCTCCGTACAAGGTGACTGTTCCTCCAGAGAAAGGCTGTAGTCCATCAGAAGTACAACTGGACTGATCACACCCAGTTAGAAAAGTCAACTCAGGGGCCCGGCACGGTAGCCTAGCAGATAAAATCATCACCTTGCACCTGCCGGGATCACATACGGGCACTAGTTCTAATCCTGGCAGCCCTGCTTTTCATCAAAATTTCCTGCTTGTAATCTGGGAAAGCAGTCAAGGATGGTCCAAAGCCTTGAGACTCTGCACCCGTGTGGAAGACCCGAAAGAGGCTCCTGGCTCCTGGCTTTGGATCAGCACAGCTCCAGCTGTTGTGGCTGCTTGGGGAGTGAATCAATGAATGAAACATCTTCCTCTCTTTTTTCTCTTCCTCCTCTCTGTACATCTGCCTTTCCAATAAAAATAAAAAGCAAATCTTATAAAAAGAGCAAAGCCAAGTCAGTTTTCTAGAAGTTGGAAGGAGAATACACAATAATGACTAAAAAGAAACTGAGATTGAGATGTGGCAAGTGTTTGTCCTAGTGCTTGCTACCTGTCAAAGTACTTGGGAACCTGGCTGTGCTTCTGACTGGCTTTCTACTAATGAAGACCCTTGGAAACAGAGATGGTTCATGTACTAAGGTCCTTGCAACCCACATGGCAGACCTGGATTGAGTTGCTAGCTTCCTGCTTTGGAGTGATTCAGTCATGGCTTCTATAGTGTTTGCCCAGGGCAAGGGAGCTTGCTAAGTTTCTAAGGTCTTACTGCTTCTATCTCAGTTTACAGATGTAGCCCTAGTTCCACCTTCCATAGACAAAACCTTTCTTTTGTCACCTATTTCCACCAACGAAATGGGAGCCTCCCTGCACTGATTACCTCCCAGTGATGGCCACCCTTCCCTTTGTGCTGCACTGGCTTTGTAGTCCTCAAGGCTCCCAAGCTGATGTGTTCTTAACCTGCACACCCTGTTTTGCACGGGTTTCCCAGCCTGTACATGCCATCCTATGCACATTCACTCTTCTCCCTCTTTTAAGCCCCATGTCCTCCTGGCTTCCCAAGCCAGTGTTCTTTGTGCTAGTTGTTCAGAAGCCTCTGCAGCTGCCTCACTGTAGGTTTTTCCACAGACTCCAGGTCAGGGTACGCTGGGAACTGCTCAACCGCATTGGAGCCGCATTGGTTGACAGCGCTTTACATTTGTGCTTCCCAGCCTGCTCAGTTGTTGGAATTTAATTAGAAGTCGTATATTCTTGTCAAAGTAATTAAAACCATGCCTTGATTAAACAAAGACTTGTTTAATTAAAAAGCAAAGGTTTGGCTAACCTTAACTTTCTGTTGGAGGGATGCAGTGGCCTCTGCTGATGTTTTTTCTTCTCTGTCTCCGTCTTCAGGCTTGAAGGTACGGGAAGTGTTTATCAACGTCACCAGGCAGCAGGTGGAGGACTTCCATGGGCCTGAGGACTACTGGTGCCAGTGTGTGGCCTGGAGCCACCTGGGCACCTCCAAGAGCAGGAAGGCGTCAGTGCGCATAGCCTGTAAGTACAGGGGGCATGAAATTGTCCTACGAGAACACGGACAGGGGTTAAATAAAGCTAGCCTGGACATTGGAGATGCCAGGAGCTTCTGCAGCACAAAGCTTACAAGATCACAAGAGGCCCTGAGAATGGTCTCTACTGCCACCGAACTTATCTCTAAAAATGCATTTTAGGTCCCTGATAATTCCCTGCAGGATACAGTTAGCCCATCAGTTTGACTCAGACCCTGGCTAGATTTTTAAAATGCACACATCTCAGGCAGGCTGGAAGGACTGTTCGTGAGAAAGAAACCCGTGCACACGGGGACTCGAGGCAATGACTCTTGATGGTGCATGACAGTGTATCTGTATGAAGAAGGCATTAGAGACATTAAGGGACATTATTGAGCTTTATTTGGAAGGCAGATTTTACAGAGGAGGAGAGAGGTCTTCCATCTGTCAGTTCACTTTCCAAATGGCCACAATGGCCAGGCTGAGCTGATCTGAAGCTGAAGAGCTTCTTGCAGGTCTCCTGTGTGGGTTCAGTGCCTCGAGTCCTTGGGTCATTCTCAGTTGCTTTCCCAGTTCATAAACAGAAAGCGGGGTCAGAACTAGAGCAGCTGGGGCATGAACTGGCACCCATCTGGGATGCCAGCACCAGAAGGCAAAGGATTAACCTGTGCCACTGCACCAGCTTCAACAGTAAGGGATTTTTACAGTTGCCTGTTGAATCTCTTCTCTTAAATCTTAAAATGTGGAACTGGGTTTTAAAACTGTGTTTAAACCACACATACATGAAAATAGTAAAAAAAAAAAAAAGTCAGGGGGGGGGATGCGGGGAGGGAGAAAGAACATGGCTTGCCTGGAGGATCCACAATTTTTTATTGCAATTTATAATGGCATCAGCATCAATATTTTTATAACATAGAAAAAGATTTATAAATACCCCAACCTCTGAAATGTCTTCAAACTACTTAACCTGCATATCTCACTTTCACAGAGCCCCATAAAAGTACCTTTGTGTGCCCAGGAGTGTAAAAAAAAAAAAAAAAAGGAAAAACCTCCAGAAACCATACCATGAGGACTAAAGATGGTTATTGTCATTTTATTCAAATACTGCCTTTAGAGAAGGGCATAAACAATACAGGACAAGAGGGATTTATTTGAAGACTCTTAGAATTCTGCTTCACAGATGCTGGTGGCCGAGGGTTTAAGGAGAGGAATGTATTTGTGATTTGCGGAAAAATTTATGTTTCTTGAGAAATGAAATCTTCATTTTAAAATACAGATTTCATCTGCTCTGTACTTGGAGTCAGGGGCAGAAGGGTGGGTAAATGACTGGATCAGTCCTGAACATTGCCTGAGCAATAATAGACAAGAATAGGGAGAGGTGGTCACCTGGTAAACTGAGCACCTTGAGAAATAGTTTTCTCTGTGATTCCTTAGTGATGTTTAGCCAACAGATACTTTATGACTTTAATGTAACAACAGGTCAGGTGAATGAGGTGGGGAGGATGTTTGCATTTGCTTTCCCTTTAGCATGGGCAAGTCTGTGCCCCCTAGCTGATTATGATCGGGCCAGCCTAGGCATCTGAGCCTGATCGTGCCAAAGCAGGTGTGGGCCGGTCTCTCTGCAAGGTCAGACAAGGTGCAGGGTCTGGGTTCTCTGCAAGGTCAGACAAGGTGCCAGCAGGGATTCCGACACAGATTTGCTCCACTGTTCCTTGTCAGCTTCCACGTCTCCATTTACTCTGTTTCCTGAGACCCATATAACCTAGCCCGTGAACTGCCACCTCTAACATGTCAGTGATGTTTCTAACTCCCGTCCCTCCCATGTACATGCTAGCTCACATCATTCCTGCGGGTCTGTTGCCTGCTGGAATCCCCCAGAGGCTTTCCTAGGCAGAGGGAAAACTTTGTGTTCCTTTACCAAGTTTTACAAAGAACGGCTCAAGCTCATCCTCATCCATCCGCCATAACCTTTGATGGTGCACGAGTACCAGTTGTCCTTCTGCATGATGTGCAGTTCTGCACATGGCCCCTGCTGTCTGGCAGGTGTCATTGCTCCTGCCCTTCCTGGACTCACGCATGTCCGACATAGTTACGTACTCAGACTCAGAAGCGCTGTCTCTTCCCCGTGTCAGCTTCACTGCTTCGGAGTTGTGTGATGGTGAACAAGTTATGTCATCTCCCTGGGTCTTAGTGTCTCTGTCAATAAAAAGGTGCCTACTTGGAGAATTATGGTGTGTACTAGAGGTATTGATAACTGCACGGTGTATAAAACTGTGCGTGGCATGATGCTGGTGCTGATTGTTCTGTGTATAATGGATGCAGTTGGCTCCTATCAGACCAGCATCTTTCACCTGTAGGTAGGCCCATCCCTACCGAAGCTAATGCAATGAAGTTAAAAAGTCGCTACCTTACTAATGTCTCTTCAGCTTATGGCTATATGCACTGTTGAAAAGAAAATCAGCAAGTCAGCCTTACCCATCCTACTCTCCCAGACATGATAGAATCAAAGAATGTTAAAACTAGAGAATACTTTTTCTCTTTAGAGTCATAAAATGCCTTCCAAGAAATAATCTCACAAATCTCTTCAGAGAACCAAGAACTCATTTTGTCATTCTTGCATGGGATATGCACATATAGACACAATTTTTCCCAAGGGGGAGGAAAAATCAGAATCTCATTAAAGTATCTGCTATGCAGTTCAGTTAATGTAATTTCTAATAATGTTTGCAATATATTTTTAATTTCTTTCCATGAGGCAAGTGAAATATTCCTTCATTTATTTGAAATTATTTATGCAAGCCAAGACATGATTTGTCATTAAATATCGCATTTGACTCTGGGACCAATATACATTAAAATGTAAATTGAAATTTAACTAGTCTAAGACATCAAAAGGAGGGGGCCAAAGCCTTCAGGACTTTTCATGGAAATTTTTTATATTGGCTTTCAGGAGGAAAAAGCCTCGGTTTAAAAAAAAATGACTTTCATGTTTGATTGGGATGCGAGAACTTTCTATTTGCTGTTTGTAAACACTTTCTATAAATAACCCGTTACACATGAGGCTAGTCTTTAGTCCCAGCAAATGAAAAGCCAAATTGGATGTAACTGTCATTGTTTTATTTGTTTGTTTGTTTCTAAGACTGATTTTTGAAGTACTAGAGATGACCTAATGAGTTAAGTGAGGGTTTTGATGGATGAATGTAGCTTGTGAATCCAATGAGAATCATCTAGAGGCGGCTTTGCGAAATTGGTATCATTTTATATTATTCATTAAACTGTTGTAATTTAACATTACAGCTCGTTAAGCTTCCCACATTTAACCTATGAACCACTTCCAAGTTTAAGTTTTAATACTGCAGCGAGCAGAACCGCTCATGGCAGCTAAGGGGTTGATTCGGGCTGGTGTATCTCGATGTGATCACCTAGGCTGAACCCTGCTGGAGTATAAGAAAGCTCGTAGAGATGGCGTAACTTTAAGATCGTTCGATTTTGAAGGGATACAATAGGAATACCATTTGATTTATGTTCTATGACCCATGGGTTTATCTTGCATAGTTCATGTATTTGAAATGGACCTAGCTGGGTTATTAATTAAATATCGGTGTCCAGGCTTCCACTAATAGTTCTGATTAAGACCCTAGTTGAAGAGCCTAGAAGGCTGTGTTTATATCAAATTAGGTAGGTGGTCCTAGGCTCAGGGGACACCTTTGGGCTGTGTTGCATAGGAATTGTGTTTCTTAAATATTAGCATGCATGCAAATCAGCTAGGATCCTATTACCCTACTCAAGCAATGAATCTTAAAATGATTCAGTAGGTCTGGTCTAAGGTCTGTGATTTTATATTTACAGTGCGATCTCTGGATGCTGTTGCTACAAGCTAGTCTGTAACCATAATTTTGAATGATAAAACTCTAAAATACCTGTATGCAGTACCATTTGGGGAATGTCGATTTAGTCCATTTACCCAACTTCTTACTTAACACGAGAATGGGTGACCTTCCAGAATCTTAAGTGACTTGATCTAAGGTATTATTGGTGGATGACATGGGATCAGACTGTGTTACTTTCTCACTGCATAGTACCATACCCCACCCATCCCACCCCAGCATGGCTTTGAGTACTTTTGCTGACTGTGGCGGATATAATTTCTTCTGTTTTTGAGACCATTGCATTTCTTCCAACAGTTAAGTTACAGTCACACACACACACACACACACACACACACACACACACACACACACACACACACACACACATTGTTTTCAGAGCCAAAGTGCCTGTTACCATAAACTGTTGTTTCCCCATAAAGATTCCACACTGTGTCAGGGAGATACCGGATGCCCATCCAACTGCCTTAGGCTGGAAATAGCTGAGGCCTAGTTTCAAAAGTGGTTTTACAAAGGGGAAAATAAATAAATAAAGCCAGCCCACACCTCCCTTCAACAAAGCTGGCAAGCGCCAGTCTCTAGGGAACGACTCCCACAGGCCCTCTCGTTTGTTCAGTGAGGCTGGAGGTGGATGGGCACGCAGCGGCATCTGTCACTGCTGGGGCTGGATGATTTTCAAAAACCAGGAATATTCTATTACTTGCCATAGTTTCTTTACACAGAAGAACATTTGGCTGTATAGTCCTTTCTCTTCTTTTTTTTTTTTTTCCTGCTCTTCATATGCTTGTAAAACGTGCCTCTCTCATTAACCCTTAGGAAGTCAAATCCTACCTGACACTTGGGACTTACCTCCAATGCCACAGTTGAAACTAGGAAAGTAAAGGTGTAAGAGAGGAAATATTAGTTGCTTAGCATCATGCCTAATAGTCACATAGGAGAAAACACAGTGGGAAAATGATGATTTTCTTGATTTTTTTTTAATGTATCAGATGTGATATATGCTGATTCTAATTTACATGGGCTATCCATTTGAGAGGGCCCCTAAAATATCTTTGCAGTTGAGCCAAGACAGAAGAATTTGAAGACAGTCTTGTTTCAAAGCCATCATGCTCTCAATTTGCTT